AAAAAAAAAAAAAAAAAAAAAAAAAAAATTCAACTTTCTGAAATTCCCCCTCAGGACAAAACACCAGAGTGCAGAACACCTCCAGAGCCCTGTGAGCCATCCACCACCCTCCAAACTCAGGTGCACCCCTCCTGCCCTTGAAGCTGCACAGGCCTTCCTACCTGTTTTATCAATAGACTAGGGAAGCAGCAGCCAGGTACAGTGGCTCACACCTGTAATCCCAGCACTTTGGGAAGCCTAGGTGAGCAGGTCACCTGACGTTAGGAGTTCATGATCAGCCTGGCCAACATGGTGAAACCCAGTCTCTACTAAAAATACAAAAAAAAAAAAAATCAGCCAGGTCTGGTGGTCCGTGCCTGTAGTCCCAGCTACTCCGGAGGCTGAGGCACGAAAATCACTTGAACCCAGGAGGCGGATGTTGCAGCGAGCCAAGATTGCACCACTGCACTAAATCCTGGGTGACAGAGTGAGACTCTGTCTCACCAAAAAAAAAAAGAATAGGGAAGAAGCAATACTAGGCCAGTTCTGGCACTTGCCTTGTAAGAGGCATGTTAACTTCTGCTTTTGTTCCTTCTAAAGCCAACCACTATGTAGGAATTCTGACCACCCTGACACCACTGGAGTGTGAGGAAGTTCTAACTGGCCACCTGGAGAAACTGCAGGGAGAGGGAACAAGGCATCCCAGGTAATAGGCCTTTCCCTTCACCACCTGATGCAACCACATGAGTGACTCTAAGTGAAACCAGCAGAAGAACCACCCAGTCAACTTCCATATTATGAGAAAAAAATCAATCCCTGTTTGAAGCCACGAAGTTTTGATGTGATTTGTTACACGGCGACAGATAAATGAAGTGGGGGTAGAAAAGCAATCTGAACAAAAATGTTTGTTTAGCAGTGCAAAAACTTAAGAAGCCAATTGGTATACATTCAGGCAAACGATGTCACATAATTTAAAATAGTATATGAAGTCATTTTAAACTACATAAATTAGATAAATTGTGTATAAATTTAAAAAAAAAGGGGGGGGATTAGGGGAGACCTAATAGCAACACACATATTTTAATGATTGTTATAAAAACACTCTCAGCCGTGATCATATAGTGGTTAGTACTCTGCGTTGTGGCCGCAGCAACCTCGGTTCGTATCCGAGTCACGGCAACAAAAAAAAAAAAAAGAAAAAAGAAAAGAAAAAGAAAAACACTCTCATATATACATCAGTATGGAACCAAAGACAACCTACAACTCACTTTTTAAATTCATTGGGCATGAGGAATGTTTAAAAAAAGAAAACAAGAACAAGACAGGCGTGGAGGCTAACACCTGTAATCCCAGTACTTTGGGAGGCCGAGGAGGGCGGATCATGAGGTCAGGAGTTTGAGACCAGCCTGGCCAACATAGTGAAACCCCGTCTCTACTAAAAAAAACAAAAAAATGAGCCAGGCATAGTGGCAGACACCTGTAATCCCAGCTATTCAGGAGGCTAAGGCAGAATTGCTTGAATTTGGGAGGTGGAAGTTGCAGTGAGCCAAGACTGCGCCACTGTACTCCAGCCCAGGCGGCTGGTGCAAGACTCTGTCAAGGAAAGAGGGGAGGAGGGGAGGGGAGAGGAGGGGAACAGAGGTCAAATACAGATAGAATAAAAACAGTGTTTAATAAAACGTTAAAAGAAAAAAAAAAAAAAAAAAAAAAAGAAGAAAAACAGTGGTTACCAAGGTCGGTGCTGGAAAGAAAGTAGGGAGCTGTAGATCAAGGGATACAAAGTAGCAGGTATGTAAGATGAACAAGTCTGTAGATCTAATGAACAGCATGAAGACTTTTTTTTTTTTTTTTTTTTTTTTTGCAACAGGGTCTCGCTCTATTGCCCAGGCTAGAGCACAGTGCTTAATCAAAGCTCACTGCAGCCTCGCCCACCTGGGCTCAAGCAATCCTCCCACTTTAGCCTCCCAAGTAGTTGGGACTATAGGCTCATGCAAACATGCCGGCTAATTTTTGTATTCTTTGTGAAGAGGAGCTTTTGCCATGTTGCCCAGGCTGGTCTTGATCTCCTGAGCTCAAGTGATCTGCCTGCCCCAGCCTCCCAAAGTGCTAGGATTACAGATATGAGCCAGCACCTAGCCATGAGAAGTGTTAATAAGTGCTTGCTATAGTCAGGATTTTTGCTCTTGCCACAGGGAGAAAAAACAGGTAACTCTAAGATGATTTACTATAGTAACCATTTTACTACATGTATATATATATATATATATATACACACACACACACAACACATCCTAACATCATCTATACACCTTAAATGTGCACAATAAATGTTATTTTAAAAAAACAAAAAGGGCCGGACGCGGTGGCTCAAGCCTGTAATCCCAGCACTTTGGGAGGCCAAGGCAGGTGGATCACGAGGTCAAGAGATCGAGACCATCCTGGTCAACACAGTGAAACTCCGTCTCTACTAAAAATACAAAAAATTAGCTGGGCATGGTGGCGCATGCCTGTAATCCCAGCTACTCAGGAGGCTGAGGCAGGAGAATTGCCTGAACCCAGGAGGTGGAGGTTGTAGTGAGCCGAGATTGTGCCATTGCACTCCAGCCTGGGTAACAAGAGCGAAACTCCGTCCCAGAAAAAAAAAAAAAAAAAAAAACGAGCCAGGTGCAGTGGTTCACGCCTGTAGCACTTTGGGCGGTCAAGGCAGGAGTATCAATTGAGTCCAGGAGTTCAGGTCAGCCTGGCCAACATCATGAAACCCCATCTCTACTAAAAATACAAAAATTAGCTGGGCATGGTGATGAAAGCCTATAATCCCAGTTACTCAGGTGGCGGAGGCACGACAATCACTTGAACCCAGAGGCAGAGGTTGCAGTGAGCTGAGATGAAACCACGCACTCCAGCCTGGGCAACAGAAAGAAACCCCATCTCAGAAACAAACCAAAATCAATGAGGTTTTTTGCCTTGTAATGTTA